AAGCCCTAAGCTGCCCTCATGTACTTTTAAAGGTTTGTCTTTAGATGTCAGCCTTATTTCACGAAGTATGATGGGTTCCAGTGACCTGAAACATGGTCCCAAATGTCTCAGATTAACTTTAAACTCATGATTAATTCCTTTTGTTCTAGTTGGACTTTTTATAGTCCAGAAGAAAGAAACGTGTAAGGGGCTTGTTAGATCAAGGTCTAAGCCAAGTTCTCTACTTTTAAAGGTTTGTCTTTAGATGTCAGCCTTATTTCACGAAGTATGATGGGTTCCAGTGACCTGAAACATGGTCCCAAATGTCTCAGATTAACTTTAAACTCATGATTAATTCCTTTTGTTCTAGTTGGACTTTTTATAGTCCAGAAGAAAGAAACGTGTAAGGGGCTTGTTAGATCAAGGTCTAAGCCAAGTTCTCTGAAAAGGCCAATTGAAAAGCCATGGACACAAAAGTCACTCAAAGTATTTATACAATCTCTCTTTAGAAATGTCAGGAAATATTATTTTAGGATACTGTGACAATATCATGAGGATAAGGAATTTAAGATACAAAAGCACAATTCAACATGAGGAAAGGTCATTTATGTACCAAGTTATGTTTCAGGGAACTTTTTTCTATTCAATTTCAATCCACTTGACTGAGCAGAGACCTAAAACATACTACACCAGAAGAGATAAACCAGGACCTGCTCTGTTTCTTGAGGCATCTCAAATTACATCTATTCACAAGGTCACAGTTACTGTATAATTCATGCTTTTTATTTCAAAATCCATTAACTAACTGAACATTGATATATACAGTTAACTTTACAAAGGTGTAGCTAAAACCCACAAAACTGAAACTACTCACATTTCTCTACATGTAATTGCAACATATGCAACAATGCAGAAGTGCCCAAAAACATTTTGAAAGAAACAAAGCATGGATTTTTAGGGTTTGGGCAGTTCATTTGTTTCAATAAAAGATATTTTCAGTACAAGATTCCATTATTCACATACCTGTTTTTGATGTGGTAATATATTGCAAGAGCTACACTGTAAAGAAAAATACAGAGTTAATACCTCAGGACTGTCAAACTATATTATTTGCCATATTTACATTTAAATTTAAAACCTAGTGCAATGCATGATAAACAGGCTGCTCAACAGACTATTTTCTTTTGCTCACTGTTAGATACTAGGCAAACTGCTACAAACAGACAACTTCATAATATTTGTTCAGCACAATCCAAGTGCCTCCTTTTTTACTAGTAATCAAGTCCCTTAGAAAAGTACTCATGTTCCACATATCAAGGTGCAGGATCTTCCATTTAAGGCTCTACTCAAGTGAAGTCAATGATAAAACTCCTACTGATTTCCAAGGTTGAAAACAAAATGTCACAGGCATTGTACACTCTCTTTTAGTGTTTGCAAATGCTGCCAGGCTAACATGAAATGTTTTAAACACTATTGGCTTATGATTTTGCATTTAAATCCATTAAATTTGTCTGTCTTTCTATGTAGCTACTCACATAGCAGACTCAAATACCAGGCTCCTATGGTTTTATGGCATCAAGTTACTTAACTCAGGAAAGATGACTCCCTGAAAAACTTACTGCATTGTGCATTTCCCATGTTCTCAACCACACACCAAATCACCTCTGTTTATATTCTGCACAGAGAAAGTGTTCGTACACACACAGAAAGTTAAGAGTTTGATTACATCCACAACTAACTGATCTCATCCATCTTACATCATCTGACAGAAGAAAATAAAGGCATGGATTCTTATGGTGATCCACCAGTTTCCAACTCATGACTCATGCTTTACTCGTAATATAGCTCTAGTGAAGGATAAAGCTGAGCCAACACTCTTCCTATTTGTTCCTGCAGCATAAAACCCAGTGAAAGCTTAAAGGGAAAAAGGATGGAGGAGGGAGTTCACTGATTCTATTTGTTGACAATTTGTTTTGTCAGTGATTCACTGTAAGATGCTTATGCCTTATACTGATGCAAAATTCCCCAAAATTTTCTTTTCCATAAAAGGCCTTTTAAAAGAGTCAAGTGGTTGCTCTCTAATTTTATTCCAGAATTTTTACAGGAAAACTGAGATACTGTGTGTTAGGAAAACAATATGTTTGAGCTACCTCATTAGTAGAATTTTCAATTATTTCACGTCTGGTTGGGGGTTTTTTTTGAACTGCCATAGAGTGAAAAATGTTTTTCTCAGTTGAAAGCAAATATGTTTTACTAAATTCGTATGAACTTTTACCTGGCTGCATTAGAAGACTTTAGATGATAAATGCTTTTTAAATTTGAATTTTTTCTATAGATACATATTTAAGGCACTAAGAGATACTGTGTACCATGAGCATTTAAAGGGCAGTCATTCCTGAACACAAGAAAAACCCACATTTATGAATGAATTTAATTTGACTGAAAGCTATTCACAAAATGAATTAGTCCTAAAATTTAATTTTAAATGATGCCCCTAGGAACACACTTGCAGCTCCAGTTCACTTCATGAAAGCAAATGCAAGAATCTATGTGCAGAGCTCTGCTTGGTGCCCATATGGCTGCCTTTAGACCAAAATGTCAAATTACGTTTAGAAAATATTTACTATTTAGAAATCTGTATCAGAATTTCAAAGTCTTTCAGAGCTGTAACTGATTAACTCACCCAAGTTTCATTCTGCTTTTCCCATGCTGGTTCAGCTGGCACTTAGTGTGCAGGAAAGATGCTAATGGAGCTTTCCATCACCCTCCCTCAGTCATCCCTCCGATGCCGCAGATCTCCACGAGATACACACTATTTTAAACACACTAGTGCAGTACATGACCCAGAAGAAATAAATGAGCTGGGCAGAATATCCTCTCATAAGTTACCTACCTACAACCATCATTTACCTGCAGAGACTGCCAGGATTGGAGCAAGAAACGAAGTTGTACTACAAAAGCAATAATCCTACAATCTCCCCACCCTTCAACCTGAGAAATGTGCAGCCAGGCAGGAGAGACAGACACCTGCCATGCCAGAGTCCAGTGCTGGTTTGAGCTGGAGTAGAGTTAACTTTCTTCACAGAGGCTAGTATGGGGCTATGTTTGGGCTTTGTGCAGAACACAGAGTTGATAATGCAGAGATGTTTTTGTTCTTGCTGAGCAGAGCTCACACAGAGCCAAGGCCTTTGCTGCTTTCCATCCTGCCACACTGGCAAGGGAGTTGGGGATGCATGGGAGATTGGGAGGAGACACAGCTGGGACAGGTGACCCAAACTGACCAAAGGGATATTCCATACCATAGCACATCATGCTCAGTGTATAAGGTGGGAGGAAGAAGGAGGAAGGGGGGACATCTGGAGTGATGGTGTTTGTCTTCCCAAGGAACCGTTACGCGTGATGGGCCCTGCTCTCCTGGAGATGCTGAACACCTCCTGTCTGTGGGAAGCAGTGAATTCATTCCTTGTTTTGCTTTGCTTGTGTGTGCAGCTTTTGCTTTCTCTATTAAACTGTCTTTATCTCAACCCATGAGTTTTTGTAGCTTTTACCCTTCTGATTCTCTCCCCCATCCCGTTGGTGGGGCAGTGAGTGAGAGGCTGCTGGTTCTTGGCTGTTGGCTGGGGTTAAACCACAAAATCACTCCATGTAACCACTTCAAGCCATCTGACCCCTTGCAGCTTCCAACCATTCCCACACTGGCAGCCTGGCCTCAGCCTTGCACAACTCTTCCATGGACTGAGCACCAACTCTTTTAGCCTGACATGCACCTGCTCCTCCCTCAACACTGCTCTCCACCATGCACCCCAAGTCTCTCCCAAATATACCATCTTGCTCCCCCAGCCTGTCCTGTCTCCTCTCTCTCAAGGCTGCTGCCAGCACTGTAAACCCCTGATAATGCTTCTTGGCTGCTGCAGCCAGCTGAACCCATATCTTTTTCCCACGATCGGTCTCAGCTGTGATGCAAAAATGGACCCAAAACTCACCCAAAAGGCTGCACTTAGAAAATATCTGCATGCAAAGGGTTTCAGAGCAGAAGAGTATGAGATCTCAGGAGGGGAAAAAGAAAATCTCAAAAATGAAATCAACGTTTTCTAGTGTTCATCAGAACTATTTTTCAGCTCTAATTACAGAAACTTGAGAAAAAGCAAGGCTAAGAAATAGCTGGCAATGAATCAGGTGTCAGTTTGACTGCAAAGCCCTTCTCCTCTCCCTTCTTTTTTTCCTTAAATAGAAAAATTAAGAACTGTTCTAGTGACCACCAACATTACAAACTCCTTCAGATGTGTTAGTCTGAATATATTCGTGTCTCAGGTAACTATCTCTGCAGCACAGATACTGTGCATTTGCAGATATATTTTTGCCTTTGAGTACACCAAGGTAATCAGCCAATACACAACTCAAGAGGTTATCAGCAACCACGAACAAACAGCATAAAATGCCTGAGGATTTGCTCTCTCATTTTCCCCCCTTCCTATATAAAATGTAAAGAACAACACTCCACAAATATAAACTTAATTTCTCTCCAAACGTAAGAAGGCACGGGTAAACCTTGAATTACTCATGTGAGACATCACCCAAGGATAAGCCCATGTGCACACCACATACAAAGCTCCCCACTGCTGTGCAATAAATGGCCAGTGCCCTTGGATTCAATAAGGAAAGGAATCCAGAAGCAATTAATTTCCACTTCAAACAGAAAACTGGAAGGAAAGCTAAGCAGATGAGCATTTTCTCATGAACAGAAAAGAGATCTTCAATTTCAGATAATTCCAAAATTCAGAACAAACAAGCACCCAAGTAAGTTTTTAGGACTCATCCAAGGCACGTACCCTGTGAATGCTGAAGTGCAAGGATTTCAACTGCTGGAATACAAGATCCTTACCTGCTGCTTTCTGACCTCCAACAAAAGTGATATCTATTGCTCATACTATTCTCTGACCCTGGAGCATGTTTTATTAAACAACTTTACTCTTTCAAAAACTAAAACCTTTGAAGTTTGCTTAGTAATCGTTCAGAAATATGTATACATAAATACACATACATAATAGAAGTTCTAGCAAAAATAAATAAATTGTAAAACCCACCATTTGATGGTATACTTGAGGTTTGGTTGACTGACTGTGCTGTCATCCAGGAAAATAGTGGAGCAGGAACTGTACTTCCTTCTCAACTGCCCAGGAGGATGCTATAAAAAACATGCAAAAGAACAATGGCAATTATGTAATACCAGAGCATTTTTACTGAGGAGATGTAAAAAATTAAAGGGAAAAAAAAAAAAAACAAACCCCAAATTTCTGTGCCTCTCACTGATGCACACAGTAATGTGATCACATTTTGAAGCAGTTCAGAAAGTTCAGGAATAATTATCACTGCAGAAGTCACAACAAGCCCTGCCTGAGACTTGACTAATGCTTTCAAGGCCCAAACTCCCCTCCATCCCTCCTTCCCCAAAACCATGCAAAAACCTTTGTGCAGAATTACTCAAATACATACATAAACTTGGAAAGCAAAGATGATTAAGACCTATGTTTCCATCATCATTCCAAAAGAGTAAGTGGAAGAGTGAAAATGAAATCATATTAGCAATGAAGATTGATTTAGCAACAGATATAACCTATGCTTGGAGAAAAAAATAAATTTTAAAATTCCCAAACAAACAAGTCCTAACAGAATGAACTAGGGGAAAGAGGTCTTTACGGTAAAACTACTAAAACCTCTAAAAATTAAGAGAGAGAATTCAGAAAAATTAATTCCACAATAATATATTATGATCAGAAAGGAAGAACACTGGTCAAAGGACATAAGAGGAAGTATATAAGCCAATAAAAAAAGAAACATATCTCTTATTAGAAAAGAAGTCAATATATTTCAATCCTTTTTGTGCACTACTCTAGGAAAACAATGGACAACTCAGCCAAAAAAATGGCATTTGACAGCACTACTTATTGCTGAAGAATATTTGCAGAGAGGGCTTTGCCTTCAGCTGTTTAGAGCAGCCAGCACTTCACCAGTCTAAAGAGAACAGTTTCATCACATCAGCTAATATCTATCATGGTCATTAATGTTCTTTGACTTTATCCTGGTTTATTCACAGAATCAGTTAGGCTGGAAGGGACCACAATGGGTCATCTGGGCCAACCTCCCTGCTCAAGCAGGGTCATCCTGCAGCACACGTGGCTCAGGTTTGCATCCAGAAGGTTCATGTGTATCTCCAGTGATGGAGAATCCACAACATCTTTGGGTAATTCTATCTACACTAGTGAATAGTGAATAACCTGACCAAGAATATGCGTCAGGAATGTCAAGACCCATCAAATAACACAGTTAACTTGCAACAGAATAGGTTTAAAATTCATCTGGCACATTAACATGGAAAATTTAATTTGCCTTACAATTATGTTGTTTCCAGTGTTTCAGTGAAGAGACCAATGTCAATATCCTCAGTGGAATTCATAGGCTCAGTATCTGGTACATGGCCCTGTGACTCCTACCTCAGTACATGTTCCCCTGCCCAATTTCCAAAACAGATATTATTACAAGTGCCAGCAGCCAACATCTCACTAACAATCTATTTTCCATAGGCAGCAGACTTCTTAGCAACACTCACTACATATAGAGCCAGACTTGTGGTAAAACCTACATGCATCTAAGTCACCTTTCTGTTTTTCCCAGCTGAGTGAAAAAGCATACTAAGTCCTCTGCTAACTGCAAAAAAAAAAATATCTATAGCTGTCACAACTGTAGAAACATTATGTTCAATTTATCTGAAAGCTCAGCAGTAAATTCTATTGAGGTCCCTCACTTGACCAACAAGATCACAGTTTGAAATGCTTTTTTTGGAAGTAAAAAAGTTCACCAAAAAACCCGAAAATTATCCCCTTTCAAAAATTCTCAAGGAGGTTAGAAAGGTACTTTGTAATACTTTGGAAGCTGCCGATTAATCTACCTATGTTAAGCAAGGAAACAAAGAGAAAATTAAGAAGCACTGGAAATATTAATGCCATAAAATGTATTATCTAGCATTGATGCATACAGACAGAATTACCAGGGGACTGGTGGTTTACAACTTTTATTTTACCATTGTTTAGTTCAAATTTCTGAATTAGTCTGTTGAATACCTTCCACAGGCATGATAAAGGTAAAGCAACTTAAAACTAGTAAAAATTATACTCTAGTGGTTGAGGGAGGAAAAAGCAAGAGGTACAGACATATCAGCATTGCTAATAAGAAAAAAAAAAGCACATGGAAAGTTTTTATTCTACATTATAAGTGTCAACATGTTTCAAAAGTTTAGCAAAAAATAGCACATGGAAAGTTTTTATTCTACGTAAGTGTCAACATGTTTCAAAAGTTTAGATAAAATTTAAAATAAATGGATTGAATTCATTCAAGGGAAGTATAAGGAAAAAAATCAGAAGACAAGTCTGTAGCAACACCACAATTAAATTTACATAAATTTTATGTAAACAGCACCCTAACATTGACACGTGTCAATAATTAAAGCCACGCACCTTACTTCTGAAACTACCACATCACAGAACTCTTCACGGTTTTTTAGCCCACATCACACTTTGTTAGGCTTAGAACTTTTCACACTTCAGGAAAATACGTGGTGTCTCATAACAACTTGGCAGGAAGGAGCACCTCTCCCAGTCTGAAGAAAGGTGCCAAGTGTAAACCTACTACCTCGGGTATATCTCCACACATTTGTGCCATGCCAATAACCTATTGGTAGATCCACATTCCTAGTTCCTACTCTGATGTCCAACTGCAGCCATATGGTGTGCAGGTAACAGATTTTCTGCCTTTTCCCAAATTACTGGAAAACACCCTCAGTTTCATAGTCTAGCTTGACTATGCTGGGAAACATCAGAAATCTGACAGTTCCATCAAACAAACTTTTCTGAACCTCTGTAAAATGCTGCATAGGAACCTTCTCCATCATTGCACAGGACAAAAGAATACTGAGCATCACGTCAGTATTCAGCACCATCCTATACAGAAACTCCCTCCTGTGTCCATTTCAGTAGGATAACTCCACAGCCAAAACTGTAGAGGAGCTTAATGTCTTTTCATTTTAAATCCATCACGGCTGACCGCAAATATATTTAGAAAAGTCAAAGAGGCTCTAATTGAGAACAATCTGAAGAGCTGAGAAAGGCTATAGAGACTTTGAAGAAATTAGCCAAATACTCTAAAATTAATGGGATCCTTCTCAGGTTCTATCCCACCACAATGCTGAAATGGGGAAAAGAAAGGACTGGTGTAGCTCCTTTCATGAATCTCCACATGCAAACATGAACGTTGGACATGTGTGGAGCCTTGACAATCTCTGCAATTACCAATATTTACAAACTGAAAGCACCTCATCGATATGAAGTGGGATTCACTTTATATGTACTTTAAGTTTCAGTAGTACTATTTTTGTACCCTAGCTGAGATTCTGTAGATGTTATACTTGTCAGCTTTGGCAAGACTTCTAAGTTAATGTGGCATAAAATTCCCAAAGCGCAAACCAAGAACAACATGGCAGGTAAAAACTACTTGGAAAATGATACACTGGTTACCCAGGGATCACTTTCAGATTGGAAGGGTAAGTAAGGGACATTCCACAGAGGTCTGGTCTACTCAATGTAAAATATAATAATAACTTTGATAACAGTATTCAGGTATTTTTTACTGAATTTGCAGTTGGCATGAACTTACAGGGATACTTTTCTAAAGAAAAAGGAAAATATCATAAGGATTTATAAAGTTACCATGTACACAACAGTGTAAAGCACCAGTCCACTCTGCTCCACTAGAATTTTATGTCCAGTTCTGAACACTGCATTTCAAGAAAGATGAATACTAGTCAGACATTTGAAAAACCTTATTTAGAAGGGAAAGCTGATAGAGTGGAAAGGTTTTCTCCAGGAACAAAGCAACAATAATGGCTTTAAGTCATGTTGAAGGGAGTTCCAAAGAAGAGAATGACCATGACCATGACCACTGTGGATGGGATAAGAAAGAGTAGGCTTATATTAAACTATGGAAAATAAAGATTGGACATGAAACTGTGAGAGGAGGCTATGGTAAAAAAAAACAACCCCAAACCAGCACCTTTTTTCTAATAGCATGGATAGCTTGAGTGACTTGAGCAGTGATAGGATCTCCATCCCTGAAAATTGTAAACAAGAGGTAAACCAAACATATACCAGGAATAGCTTAGGTGCAGGCTTCTGCTCTTAGGCAAGAAACCAGACTGAACAATCTCTTGAGATGAATTCTGGACCAATTTTCTATCATTTTGTGATTTCTTTTGGTGGAGAGGATTTGTAGCTCTTTATTCCAGAAGCAGTTGCTATTTTTCTCATTTCAACCAAAGACATTCACTAAGAAGTGCTGACATTATAAGTTACAGTGAATACATTATAGGTGTTTTGTGGAATTTCTTTCTCAACACAAAAAGATGTGTAACAGAAAAAAATGCTTTAGAACTTGCTAAGCTTCTGAATGTGTTACAGAAAAAGCCCTAAGAGATCAAGATTCAATATATTTCCATTAATGCCAGGTGTTTCTAGCTCTTAAAACTAGCAGTCTTCCCCCCTGCACAGCTAATACTAAGCAAGGATCACTGGTTTATCTTTCTCCCAGCTTCATCCTGCAACTTTCCAATTTTCCAAATCCCATTTAAGATGTATAAACAACAGTTTTTACTTTGACATGAAAAACATCTTACAGAAATGGAATGGCTAAGTTTGCCATCAAAACCATACAAGCTCTGCAGAACTGCTGGTATGTACCTGCTCTGAAAGGAATCACAACAAATTCCTAACTAATTCACAATATGAATACACAAAAGGATGAATTTCTCTCAGAAATTATCACTCATCTAAATTTGTGGGAAAAGATGAAATACTATTTTTTTGTTAAAATAGACACTTCAGGAGGGTTTTGGGTAGCAATATCTAACAGACAGATGCATACTGACCAAAACCCACACTCAGAATTGACAAGAAAGGGTAGTGGGCAGCTCTGTTCTCTGCAGCAGCACTTGTACAGCACTCTGCCCTGATGCTCAGTAGGATTTGTTCATTTGGGTGCAAAACTCTGCTAATGAAGCTATACAGCTTTTGTACCAGTGTGGGCCTGCAGCCAGTCTCAGATTCCAGTTTGGCAGAGGAGCCTCAGCCTTTTTCAGTGCTCCTTTGCACTTGTCCATCAAAAGATAATTTGCAGCTTCTGTACTAAATAATGATAGTACTGTCTCTTCTTCCAGCCAACCAGGTGTCAGTTACTGCATGATTTTAAAAGGTACTGTTAAGTAATATTCCCCCCCATGAGAAAATTGAGGCTTGCTTGCACCCATCTGTGGAGACATGCCCACTAGCTTGCAGGCAGTAGAGGCTGGCCAATATGCTAATTGGCAAAACTGGCATGCAAAAGTGCACAGAAAGCCAAATTACAACAGCAAGCAAAAATACTAGGACTGCTTCTGAGTTGGAAAAGGGAGGTTCCTATCTTGAGGATCTTCTGTTGCTTCAGGGCATTATTCAGTTCTGACAACATTTTTCACAGAAGAAACATGATTTTACAGGTCAAAGTGCCTCCAAAAATCGAGCAAGGTACACAACACCATTCTCTGCATGGCTCTGCAAAGCCCTGCACTGATTTTAATCTTGCATAATGTCAACACAGCAAAAATGTCTACATTTAGTGTAGATATATTCACCTGAACAAAAGCAATAGGAACTGCACCATTGTATGCTCACCCTTTTCTGCCAACAATTACAATTCAAAAAGATCCAGTCCAACCACTCTTAAGTGCCACCTCATGATTTAACCTTGTCCTCAGTTGATTAGTTTCACCAGTGTTTGACAATGTCCAAAACTGATGGCTTAGGCTAGATCTGTACTTGCAACCTTCTTGCTCTCAACACTTGTCCTTACTCATGTCAACTACAGAAAACTGTCAGTGAACCCCTGAGCTCTCACAGGGCTCAGCAACCACTGGAAAACTCTTCTGCAGCACACACAGGCCCTACTTAACCACTGATAAAGCACACTGCTTTCAAACCTGAAAGATTAAATATTTCTTTGAATACTAAAATCAGCTCAAAGGCTCATATTTACAAAGCTTGTTAATTGCTAGTGTTGAGCAATTTGACCAGAAGGACTTTACTGCACTCCCAGAAAAGCAAGTATTGCTTAGTGCCTTGTAAAAGAACTCTCCTGCATACTCTCCTGCTAGCTTGAAAGCTATCTTTTGTTCCTCCTGTTTAAAAAAAACTTGTCACTTCTTAGAACTTATTGCCTTGAGGCTGCCAGGAGAGGGAAAATTCTTTATTCTAGAGGACAGGAAATGAAGCAAGGGGCTAAAAACCACTTTTCAAACAGTAAGTTTAGGTAAGCCATTAAAGAAAACCTGTTAATTCTAACTTACTAGACACCTGAAAAAGAACCTTAAATAGCATCTATTAGGAATGGAATCAGTATATGGAATCTGATAAAAGGACTAGGGCCTATAAAGACCCACTCTAGATCTGTTTTTTTGTCATCTTGCAATGGAGAGGAGCAAAGACCACATTAAGCAATCTCTATAAGAACTTCAAGAGCACCTGGGAAGCCTCTAATCTCTCTTCCAGTTTATCTTGTTCTTCTCTTCTCTAAGGAATGTTAATTAAAACATCTTAAGGAATTTGGACAGCAATTATAAGCCTTTATAATAGCCAGCCTCGGGCAGTCCACTTGAAAACAACATTTCACATTTTATGCTGTGCTTTGCATTTTTCAGGGATTAAACTACTTTTCAGACTATGTTCCCATTTCAGCACACATCTTATTTGCTCTTGGAAGTGTTTGATTACCAGTCCCAGGCCTAGTTGTTTTACAGTAGGGAAGTAGACCAGCCTCTTTATCTGACAAGAAAATTTGGGAGTTACATAGGAGCAAGTGCCATACATAATTTCAAGCATGCAAAAAGGCTCACAGAAATTGCTTATGCCACACCATGCACAGCACCAGGCCCCTCTGCTCTCTGCTAATCCCCATCACCAGTACTGCCTCTGCTAAGAAGCCTCTCCTGATGTGAATCACCACAGGGTCACTTACATGGGTTATGACATGACTAAGGTCCAGGAACCTTTCCCCAGGATACTGAAAAAATAATAGTTTATACACAGATGTTAATTTTTCTACTTGGAATGATAAAAACAGTATTAGCCTGTTGGAATTTGAATATTCTGTTGTCAGCTAGCAGACACTAGAAGTCATGTCCAGATCCCTAAATGAGACCATGCTTCAAGTCTGATGAAAGGTCTCCAAAATAAAAAATATTAGAAAGTGAGATATTTCCCTTTATCTTCCTTCTCTTTTCCTACCCATCATCTTCCTTCAGAAATATTCCAATATGCAAAAAATGTCCCTTATTTTTACTGGATATTACAGCTCATAAACACTGATTCAGCTTTAAAGTATAACTTGTCAAGAAGAGAAAAAAGTATTTGGGTATCTTCATCTTGTCTGAAGGGGAAAATTCTAGAAAAATTTGAAGGAAAAAACAAACTTCTTTCTCCCCTACCCTGTTCCTTTCCCCTGCAAAAAAACCCCAATCATCCAGTACAAACAACTAGTTACAGCAAACAGTAATAAAAGATTCACTTTCTCCACCACCTCCTCAAAAGCTATGAAAACATGTCTTCCTGTTTGCTTTCCTTGTACAGGCAGAGATACTGATCTGAAAAATGAAATGCCTCTATCTCAATATGCATCTTTATCCCCCCTCAGCAGCTTGACTAAGCTGATCCTAAAGCACGTGCACACCCAAGCAGCATGAAAGCCATAACAAAGAAAACTAACCAGTGCAATGGGAAAGAGAAGCAGAATCTGCTGCAACTGCTTAGAAATTAAAACAGGCTAGAAGAAAGCAAACAGGTCAGGTACATTGTATGTAGGGAACTTTTAGCACCTATGAGGATGCAGAGGATGCAGCACCACCCCCAACCCATCATCTGTCTCCTTGGCTCCATAGGAAGATTGGAGAGATGACAACTTCTCCATAGCACTCCATCACCCCCTGCTTTCATTCCTTCTCCACCCCAAAAAAAGAACAGCTGCTGGCTTCTTCCATCACACCTACTGACAAGGTGAATCTGAAACATGGCAACTGTCAGCCCTTGTCAAAGCATAACAAATCAAAGCAGGAACCCACTAGTTGTATTTGGGGCTCAACTGAACTATTCAGCCAAATAAAATATTCTACAAACGAAAGCAAGTAAGAAAAGAGAAGAATAATAGTGTGATTATACTGGAAAAGGGTCTTTTTAAATGAGGAAGAGACAATATTAATTAATTTTTTCCATAGGTAATATTTCTAAACTGTTTGTATAAACTACTATTCTCATCTGTTATTACAGAGAACTTGGCAAGCAGTTAAAAAAGAAAAAGCACAGCTTTTCTTGACACTTCTCTTGCTAGTCAGCCACCCTGATCACTTGGGAGATATTCAACTCTGCCTGTAAAATAACCAGTTGTGCAGATACAGCACAAAAGGATAAAAATATTTTGCTGCTCATCTTGGTTATTTATCATGAAGAGACTAAGTCTAAAAAAACAACAACAAAAAAGATGACGTTATGGACAAACTACAAAAGATAAAAGTGCTGCATTCTGGTGAAAGTTCTTGTAAAAGACACACAAAACAGCAAAATTTAGGTCCTCTGGCCTGTTTCCTCCAGAGCAGATGTGCAGACCCAACACTCCACATCAGCAGAGTATCAGATGAGTAGCAATAGCTCCTGTTAAAAATGCTCTAGCACACACTGAAAAGTGGTGGAAAAAAACAGATCAAGCAAGAGGGTATATCACAAATTCACTTTCCACGTAAATACGACCCATCATTTGTCACATACGACTGATAAACCTAACTAATTCCTTAAATTTCTTTCAACAAGGTGGTCTAGGAAAATCATGATGGTTTCCTGCAGCCTGCAAACCTAAACACAGTTGCCAGTGACAGGCCACAGCTACCCCTTCAAAAATGATCACTAGTTTGTGTGTCAGTCTTAGAAGACTGATAATTTAGGAGGTGCCAAATGAATACTCCCAGGTGTGCTGAAGGAAACCTTAAATATCACAGGTAACCTTTGAAAATATAGTTTATCTATGAATATTATCTAAAAAATTTAACTGACTTGTAAGGACACACACAGAGAATGCCATGGTAAGGACTTCAGCTTCATAAAGGTTATTTTTAGCTTTGTAATTCAGAAGTACTTAATAAGTACAAAGAAGTCAGTCTTAAGGTAACAGTAAACCAGACTACTGAGACAAGTTTACACTGCTGCAACCTCAGCCAGTGCTTTTAAAGATACTTGATGGGAAAAAAACCTAAACCAAAATAGAAATTAAGAAGAGGTACAGCAGCACTTAGGATATCAACTGCATCAACTGCTACACTGAGCTCCCAACAACACAACTGATGGGTGATACGATCGCCCTGTCCCATCCTGCAGCATATCCCACATTGGCAAACACTTCCCACAAGGGCTTGCAGTAGTGCAATAGTGTGCTTCCAGCAGCATCTCTAACACTCATCTTTGTTCAGTCTGCCAGAGGAATCCATTCAGTCTGCCTAACACAGAACACAACTTCTACATACGAAATGATTCAGGACACATGAGAATTTCATCCATGACAAAAGGTGGACTGTCACAGAAATTCAGTTAATACCTTGCTGTGCAGTGTCTAAATATTTTATTTTTTTTTTTTTTTGCATTTAACTCTTGAAGTTTGAGACTAAAAGGCATGCTGGAAGTTCCTGTGCACACATCATTAAGACTACAAAAACCCAGTAGATTGATAACAAGATAACTGCCCTGCAAACCACCCTCACATGCACTGTTAAACTATAGGAATGTTTTACAGTGGAACAGAAAATGAGAAACACCGAGAATATCTGCTAAACCAGTGGGGGCAACTTTAAGGCTTTTATAAACCTCACAGTATCTCATGAGTTCTCAGAATCTTAACTCTTGAGAAACTGAAAATCTCAGGTTGCTTTTGAAGCTGGGCAGTAGTTACAGAAACCAGGGCCAACAAATGAAGCAGTTCCTGTCTTCTCACCCCACTCAGCAGTTCATGCCTGTCCTCATGCCTCTCTACTTTTCTGCTGGTGCAAGTCCTGGACTGAATCACACCTAGGAACTCTGTTTTAGCTTTCAGCTTTTAGCTGAATCCACCTACATTCATGCCCCAATCCGGTTTACCTGGAGCTGCACAAACATTCACCCTAGGACAAAGGAATGAAGAGGCTGCAAAACACATCAGTTTGTTTCAGCAAGCTGTAGTGGCTTGAAAATGAAATGACAGCCAACATTTCCAGAGTGAGAAAAATCTGAGGACTTCTCCCCACTTTACCTTAATGGCAAATACCATTTGGCAAACAATTAGTTCTTTCCCTTCTCAATTTTCCTCCAGGTATTTCAGCACAAGGCTTCACATACTGGGAACCACACTGGTTCCAGGTCCTTCAGCAATACAAAGACCACTAACTAGGGCACAGAGCCTGGTCCTGTACCCAAAGGCTACAGGGGATTTGCTCTCAGCTTCTCCAAGAATTTGATTAAAAATGAAGAGAAATGAACTGAAAAATGCTCAGGGTACAAAAGCTTATCAAACCCCCAATCTTCATACTCAGCATGTACCACATGTCAATCCACATTTACACTGCAACAACACTGGTCAGGCACTTCAGAACAACTGTGTACACTATCAAATGCTGCAGCTCTCTGCCAAGGCAAACTTGCATACAAATGTCATCTAAAGTTTTGAGAGTTTCCATAATAATTTTAGAAATCATACTAATGTGTGCAGCTCTTTTTCCCACATAGCAGTTACCTATGTACACTGACTGTGAGCATGATACTGTCTTCAAACAGATTTAATTCCACTAATGGCTGAGACCCTATACCTCTGGATCCTGATGCAGAACAGGCATGTGAAGCATCAGCACCCTCTCACCAATATGGAAATCATGTGTGATAACTCTTATTTACTACATAATATAGACAACAAGGAGAAAGCTGCATAGCAAGGCATTTTCACTTACGTGGTTTATATAGAGACTCTTGCGTTTTTCTCTCACTGCAAAAACACAAAATATGATAGAAATATTACATGACTATTTTTCCCGATTCAGCTTCTTATATACCATTTATAATAAAAAGAACAGGAGGCTATCTATGTGCAACATTATCACTGCTTTTGCACTAACCAAGTCTCTTTATATAGCAAATATAGAAGGTACATAGATCTGTATGCATACAGGTGTTTATGCTCACTAGTGTGGGGATGGGTTAAAATTCTCATCCATTTGGGTACTTCACCAGGCATTGGTCTGCATGGGAAAGTTAATATGCAGCAAGCTACAGTCCAAGTTAGCAATGGATTAGCCATCCTGCACCAGTTCTCTGTGTGGGTACTCCTGAGCTGGCAGTGCCTTCGTGCAAGGTACCTTGCTGCAAAGTGGCCTCACTACCTTGCAGGTATGAAAGCACCTACACCATGGAGTTAGCAAATTCTCATCAAAGCTTACAGTGTGCTAACTCCCACAGAGGAGCCCTGAAACCATATGCATTATACCACTTCCTTCTAGAATGATCAGGTGCAAGCTTGAAACTATTCCTCATGTCGGATGTAACGATGAAAAGACATTACTTTGGTGAGTATGAACCAGTCACCACAAGCAATGGTTGCAAGTCAAAGCCACAATTAGCCAAAATAGTCAGAAAGTAAACAGAAACAACAAGGGAGATAGATGCATAGTGTCTTCATTGTCAGGCAAATGCTTATTACAGCTGATTAAATATATTCTACTTAATTTTTTTAAAGCACTTTCCCAATTAACTCACCCCATAGAGAGCCTGTGGAGCTCTGTTCCAGTGAAAATACCACAGCATTTAGGATACAAGTCTAGAGGCAACTAACACATAAATCAAACTGCAGGATTAAAATAATAATGGTTTCATGCTGCAGGTGATTAAATGCACTTTGGTGCACCATGATTTGAAAGCTATGCAACCCAATACACTTAGCAAAATAAGAGTGTTCGTAATGGTGGGATAGCCTGTCCATTCCCTGTTGGATGAGAAGCCATTACTTGTGATTTATTATAAGCAAGCAGTCTCACATGTACAAGGCTTTATGTGTGAATACTGTGAAATCATTGTTTAATGCAGACATAAAATGAAAATAAAAAAAAATAAGAAAAAAACATTTAAAAATCCTTACATAATTTTCCTCCCAGGGAGCAGAAAGGAGAATCACACATGACAGATGTTAGCCATGTCACTTAGAATATGCTCAGATCCACAATCACGGACATTGTATAAGAAACAGAATTAAACAGGAACAGTGGGAAAATTCTGATCATCTAGGAAATAGTTAAAGTGCTTGAAATCCTGCTAAAAGGCTGCACTACACTTCAGTTCCACACACTGTATTTATCACCAGCAAGAGACATAAGTTATCAAAAGGGAAACAACAAAAGGATGATAGATACTTGGAGAGAACAGTCAAAGTACTTGTCTAGTATCACATATTGCAATTTACAGGCAGTAAACAATTCTTATAAGCTGTGTGTAAACCTAACAGAGCATATAACTCAAAATTAACACCTATTAACTGCGACATTTTGAACACAGTGAAGTATTTAACAGCGTTTTAATCACAAACAATTATACCCCATACAAAGTGCTTATGGACAAAATCCTTTAAAGACAGCCTGTGGATACCCTCCAAATTCCATTTTAATCACCTTTTTTCCCCTTGGTTTTTTCTTCTGTATTTTCCCTCGTAACCATTATTTATTTCCCCATGAAAGTACAATCATCTATTTCCCAAAGCAAGAATATCATTCACAGCCCAATCCCGTTGGCTATTTCCAGTCTCCAGAAGAATATCTAAACATATTTCTACACAGCCCTCAACTCTCCCTGTTGGAGCACTTCTTGTGCTGCTTATCCTTCTAAGCACCACAATGCCTTCCTTTCCAAACCTGTATTCCCCATATAACAAATTCAGCTAGTCTGGCCTCTCCTGGGAGAGGCTACAAGAAGGCAGCTGTGCTTTTGTGCTTCAGGCTCACTTTGCCTGAGTGTAAGGCTCAACTCTCTCCAGAACATATGTCAGTGGGGAACTGGGCATAGCAGAAACCCATTTTGTCACAATCACCCTCTTTTTTGATCACAACCCTCCCTTTAAACAAGGGAAGACAATTATTGCATAATGCAAAAGGCCATTCCTGCCAACCTAAAATGACTATAAAGAGGCAATTCTATCATTTGGCTTCAGTCAGTTTAAAAATGCTTTGCACTTCTCACACAGCACACTATGGTCTGCAGCAGACCAGACCATCATGTTATAATTAACTGTAATTTTGCAGTATAAACACCTAACTGCAAGTCCAGGTTTTTGGGTCTGGGGTATGGGGTTTTGATGACATGAAGCTGAACAGATTTGGAGTCAGTTTAAACAATTAAACTTCTACTTTCTTTCTTACATTTTAAAATTGAAAGTTGGAATGGAACTTTACAAATGGAGAATGAGATGCTGCCAAATTGTCTTAGTTGTCCTCATTCTAAGGTCAATGACCTGTTTTTATTGCTGCAGGCACTTTCAATTAACTTTTGCAATTGTAGGAAAGTGTCCTGAAATTAAAGGGAGTGAGGAAATACACATACACATGTGCACGGGTGTGTGCAATATGTACATATGTATATAGATTTAATTGAGTTGTAATAAAAACTTTCACAGTGCAACTTCTATAGACTTAATGTTAACCATCTAAGAATCACAGACAAAACCCTTGAGGATTACATTAATAAGACTGTCTCACATTTTGGAATTTGTAACTTATTTGTTTTAGCCAAGGAGATTGGTCCTAGCTAACATGAAAGACTAAGTGCAGCTTACTCCACTTCTATTAACCTATATAAATACAATTCAAAATCTTCTTTGTCTTAAGCACATGGTTGCACTGACACTGCAAAATTTAGCCAGTACATTGAATGTGGAAAGCCCAGTCTGAACCAGGAGAGGTGGATAGCTGGAACCCACTGACAGGAAAGACCATTCCAGCACCCTGGAGGAGTGACCATTGCCCTCTTGATATCATAAAGGAAAGGCAGCTAAGGTACCCTGACTTAATCACAGTCACACACTAAATAGTGCATGGCTTTTCAGTCATCTAAACCACCCAGCTTACAGGCCAAGCTCAACTAACGAGGGAGAACTTGCATAAAGCACACAAAGAAGTTAAAGGTATAAAAGGTAGTATTCTTTACTAGCTCCCTAAACAGGGAGAATTCCTCATGTACAATTCAGCACCCAGAAACTTCCCACAAAGAGATGGAAACATTTAGAAAGGCTACTTTAGTTATGAATCAAATTCATATTTCATGTGACTTAACTTTTCAACAGATTCACTGAATGCTCAGGTAATTAAGGATGCATTTAGACTACCAATTAAGAGGGGCAGGACAATTTAGATGTTTAGCATGGCATCTAGGTTTGACAGAACAGAGGGAATTAGAGACCACCATAATAAACAGAGATGTCAAGTCCTGTCTTGTTATATTTGGGGTAGTCAGCTTGTTTCTCTTCACTCACGTTGGTCACAAGCAGGTCAAGCACAGCTCCTATGCCAGGACACTACCACTAGATCAACAGTGAGGCTGAAAGAGTACAGGGCTATGAGAAAGCCAAACATGGAACTGCCTGAAGGGAATGCTGCCAAGTCACTCCAGCACGTAGTGATGGACTTGGCCATTTCCCACTGTAAAACCATGTGATGTATGCTCACAGTCACAGCCAAATTCTGGATGAAACCTTGAATCCTGATGCCACTCAGCTCACTGGTATGCTTATTTTAAATGTCCACAGGGCTTACCTACAGAAACATTTTCACTTACAGTCAACAGGAAGGTTTACCAGTCCAATACCATACAAGTAATGGAGCAAGGCAGTTACATGTCCAAGTCAAGTGTTTTCAACATTGCCAGCTCAGTTCTGCCCTTTTACATCATCCTAAGAGGTCTTGGGGGTCCCCTAGACTCCACAGCAGGCTGTCAGATTACAACCCTACACACCCTAAAAAACCCTTCTATTTTCCCCTTAACAAGCATTTTATTGCGTTTCGGTGTTAGGAAACATCCTTGAATAGTGTGGTAACTCCTACAGCTCACTCAGTTCAAACAAGGGGCCCAAAGTACAGCCAAGTAAATGCTTACAACTGTGAATTGTCCCACCAGAACAGGATGGTTCTTGGCAATACCTCAGTAGATAAATGTTTGCAGAATCTTTTTTCCTTTGTAAAAACAAAATAGCCTTTGTATTTTTTCCAGTGTGATCAAGGACAACTGAACAGATCTTACATTCCCATTGATAACATTCCTATATTGCTTCACTAAATTCATTGTTCTCACTCAAAAAATATGTTCTTCATATTACTCAAACTAGAACAAAGCTTCATAGACCAACTCTAGCATGGGTGCAAATTGTCAGCTCTTTATAAAATGCTTAAAATTAACTCCGTACTGCAATAAGTTAACCACTGTTACTAGAAGTAAGAATAATCATCAGGTCTGGTCAAAATTTTAGTTGCTGGACTTGGGTCTATTTTGTCCTTTCATTCAACAAGCTGTAACAAGAAACAAGTAGCATCCATATGGGATTAAACAGTTTCAAAACACTGCAAAATCACTATAAAATAGGCATCAATCTTCATAATACAGTGTACTATGGAAATATTATCATATTCATTTTATAGAGTACCAAACCGGATTAGTATGGTAAATCACATTCAAAACCAAATAATGAGGCATTGACAAAACCAGGGCTGAATTTCAGAAGGCCAATCTGAAGGGCAAAAGAGGTACTCACATAATCAACTCTTCAATTAGGGCCTGAATGTATATCCTCTTTGTTCTACTCATGCTCAAAAATTAGCAAAAAATATACAGTAAGTGAAAACTACATTATTTTTCAAGTGATGTACTTGACACTGCAATTTACTATGTAAATCAAAAGCAGCATTTACAGGCAGCAGAAAGGAGGACAAAGAATTCATCCTGAACAGTCAGAATTACAATGCAGAAACTGCTTTGAAAGTCTTGGTAGAAAATAATGTGCTTTGCATCCATGACTCACCTACTTTTAAAACAACATGTCATATATGTCCACCAGGGAATGAAAGAGCCAGAATACACAGTTTCTATTCTACTAATGCTATCAAGAGGTTGCTTAACAGATGTAATTTCAGAGATCATCTTGTCTATGTATGTAAAAAAACCCCCACAACCAAATATATGATTATATCAAATCCATAACAAGAGGAGAAGAAGAGAGGATGTTTTGGGTAGGATAAATTCTAGTACTGAGCTCATTTACAATATCACCTATATCAGAGAAACTCTGAACTGTCTTCTTAGCTAATATAAACTGTCATTTTTTCAAGAAAATACTTTCCACACATTTTCTAGAAGCCTGGCCTAACATTCAGAGTTTAAAAAATCCCCAAGAAACAGTTACACAGAAAATTTTGGACTTAGGAAAAATATTTTGAAGTATAATTATATTAAGCTTTATCCATATTTGTACTACTGGTCTGACAAAACAATTAACTAAAGGTGTGACTACTTTAAACTCTAACATGATGCCTCTAAATGCCTCTTTTGGGGGGGCAATTATATATAAAAGTACTATCACATGCATTCTAAGAAAGGGTTTAGAGATAACTGTAATAGCAAGCACTGTAATAAATTCAGTAACCTACCATCTGTTTGTGATTTACTGAGAAATATTGTACTGGCCCGTGGATGATCTGATGGGTTGAATTCCATGTTCAAATCTGGAAAGAAAGAACAGCACAAAAACATTTATGATTATCCAATGGCATACACAGATTTTCTCATTCTCTTTAATAACACCAAATTTACATACTTAAGCAGCTACCGTAAAACAAAATCCATCTTGAGGCCCACTCTTTTATCCTTCTTTGCACAAGTGGTTCTTTTTGGCATGCAAATCATTTACATCAACACAGCTTTGGGATTAAGACTTCACTTCTAAGGGCTGCTTTTGGATTTAAATAGATAAAGCATCTTGAGAAGCCTGTACACAAGAAATCAGGAACTACTCATTTACGACAAATTTCTTCCCACCATGCCCCAAAGCCATTGCTTAGCCCAGGAACAAGGACTGCCAGATGTAATTATAGAAGAATCAAGTATTACAAAACAAATGCACAACCCTCTAAAGATAGACAGGTTTCCAAGATTAGACATGATTAAAAAAATGTAGTTATTTCAACTGAATGTAAACAAGTCAAATCTAGGCCACACAGTCAAGATTAGAAAAACTTGGAACTTTCACAGATGAACATATTCCTTCCTGTGACAACTTCTAAACAAAAAACCCAAAACAAAACATAAAAATACCCCAACAAAAACTAAAACCATCCTAAAAACCATTTACCAGGTTAAAAATTCAAATCTATCACACTTTATACAATCTTCTATGAACGCTATTTTCCCTATCAAGGTTAAAATCCATCGAATTTACTTGTTCTCAAATTCCACTCCACTACCAATTTGTCAAAACTCACATGCCTGTATCCACTTGAAAACATGCAACTAAAATAGCAGCCCACTTTTTAGCATTTCCTAGTTCTTCCAGTGAGGCTATCTCAACCCTAGCTCTCTTACATTATCTCCACCTCCAGATACACATTCTCTTGTATTTGATGCAGGCATTTATGTGTGACTACTTATGAGCACTAATATATTTATCTTCTGTGATTATCCCAGGCTTTCTACATTTCTCTCACTCCCCTTTCACATCTCTGTGAAAGCTCAGCAAAACTGGAAATTAAGCCCTAGGTCTTATGAAAACAAAACAGTCTTTTTGCCCAGGGGTCAAGTTATCCTGTCCGTAGCTTTCCCTGTTCCTTCACCATCCATCACCATACTCTGGCTCTCCTTTTCCCTTTTATTTAATAATTTACTAAGTATTCAACTTCCCTGCTTTTTTCTCCTGACCACACACCCCTCTACAAATGTACTTTCTATTATTATTTTTCCATTTTATGCTCTCTTGGTTTCCTTCTCATTTCCCTGCATGCTGCAGCCCATGAGATGAGCAGCCTGATATGCTGCTGCTACCTGGGCATAACTTTTGGAAAAAAACATGATCTTCTTTCCTACAAGGAAGAACCCAGAAACACAGAAGTGCAATTCCTCAGTTGCAGAAAGGTATTAGCATTATCATCAATGCCACAAAGGAAAAGTAATTTTGATTTTCTCAGAAACCACAGTCATGTTTGGAGATTCTGTGACTGTCATCTTACACTAGGAGCTCTGACTTCAAAGGGCTGTGAGTTAGAATGTTTTCGTGTTGCTCTATGCATCTTATTTAGTTATGTACAAGACAAAAAATAACCATCCATTGAGACAGACAGTGCTGGTAAAGACTGTTTTCCATTTCAGCATAGTTTTTCCTTCATGCTGAATTCAAGATGCTATTCATTAAGTGAAGAGTAATCAGCATTTTAAAGTGGCAAAATACATTGTCTTTCATCATCCCTCTTCATCTTTTCTAAAAAGCACAATATATCACCATTAGAAAAAAAGTGCCTTTTCTTTTTTTAGACCAGGTCAGATATTTTTTCAACAAATAGTTCAACGTACAGCAATGCCAATTCAATCAATAAAATGCAACAAGCAACATGAAACTGAATCCAGCTTACAAAAAACACTGCCCCTACAAATCAAAGCACTTCTCCTTCAAGGCCAGAAAATTATCTGCTTGAGGAATAATAACAACCTGATACAGGCTCACAGTTTGTTTGCAGGGCTGAAAAGAAAGGAAAACCAATTGCCACATCTTGCAGTTAAGTTCCATCTATTAAAGATTCCTGTGCTACAAGAGGCTATTTGGCAGAAGCAGTAAACTAACAGAGGACTAAAAAAATCTTTCTGAAAAAAACCATGAACTACCAAAAAAGCACTGGCTCTCAGATAAACTCTTATTCTTCTGACAGGACCTGAAAGAAGGCCAGCAAAACCCCATTTCAGCAGCTGCAGAGGCCAGTCCAGGGATTTTGAACCATCTTGGGAGAGGCAGCTGCCCACTGCCAGGGAGCAGCTGTGGCTCCTTCCCACCACTGATCCCCATAAAGCACCACACGTCCTCTTCTCTCTGCATCACTTCCCTCACATCTTCCCCAGCAACAGCAACCACCAAACACATCCCTCTGTCTTTCTCAAACTGCCTGCACAAAAATGTGCTGGTTTGAGCTGGAGTAGAGTTAACTTTCTTCACAGTGGCTAGTATGGGGCTATGTTTGGGTTTTGTGCAGGACACAGAGTTGATAATGCAGAGATGTTTTTGTTCTTGCTGAGCAGAGCTCACACAGAGCCAAGGCCTTTGCTGCTTTCCATCCTGCCACACTGGCAAGGGAGTTGGGGATGCATGGGAGACTGGGAGGAGACACAGCTGGGACAGGTGACCCAACCTGACCCAAGGGATATTCCATACCATAGGACATCATGCTCAGTGTATAAGGTGGGAGGAAGAAGGAGGAAGGGGGGACATCTGGAGTGATGGTGTTTGTCTTCCCAAGGAACCGTTACGCGTGATGGGCCCTGCTCTCCTGGAGATGCTGAACACCTCCTGTCTGTGGGAAGCAGTGAATTCATTCCTTGTTTTGCTTTGCTTGTGTGTGCAGCTTTTGCTTTCTCTATTAAACTGTCTTTATCTCAACCCATGAGTTTTTGTAGCTTTTACCCTTCTGATTCTCTCCCCCATCCTGTTTGTAGGGCAGTGAGTGAGAGGCTGTTGGTTCTTGGCTGCTGCTGGGGTTAAACCACGACAAAAAACCAGAGGAGAATATGGGTATGAAGAATGACAAAGCCTGTCTTGCCCAGCACAAGGTGCCCAGAAGAGGACAAGTGCTGTGATAGAGGCTGGTTCCCCACCTCCCTCTGAGGAACTGCACAGGTCTCTCAGGTTTGCAGGCAGAGGAAGGCACTGTTTGGTGTGTACTTGTAACTTGGTCACCCCAAGCCCTTCAAGGGAAAAGCATTAAGCAAATCCAAGCATCCCACAGGCTACCTGTGGCACCACACCACTCCAGGCCACCACTGCTGGCACACAGGAGTATTAGTGTGGACCAAAGAGTCACCAAAATTTCAGTCTCTGGTTGTTCTTGGATGTCTTAATTCATTGCACAACTTGAAAACAAATGTCTTTTGAATATGGCAACAAATTCTTACAGATCTATCACTAGAAACCACATTGCAGAAGAAAGAGATCAAATTATGTACAAATATCTGAAGCTAGTAACTCATTACCAAAGGGAATTATCCATCAGAAGGTTAATTCCATCCAAAAGAAAATAATACATTCATACTGCTTTAGCATTACTAGCAGTTCTTTCTAGTATTTGAAAAGTACCATGAAAACCAGCTACAATAGGAAAGGTTTACCCATTATGCAATGAAATATCAAAAAGACATTTAAACTCACACAAGCAATACTCTTACTATTCAAAAGAGAGGAAAATGAAAGCCAGACTTTCAGTTACTGAAATCTGCACAAAAATGTATTCCACTGCTAGCAGCCTCCTCATACCCTTCAAATGAAAGACTACGAGTGGGTACTTCTTCCAACAGCTATCCAGCACTCCAAAATCAGCTTTTAAGAAAAAGTCAGTCTTATAGGTAATCCAAACCAGAAATCTTTCACTGTAGATGTCCTTTCCAGTTAAACAGATTTGGAATATTTTTCTGCATCCTCTCCTAGTTCAAAGATCAAGTTTTCCTTTTTTTTTTTCCATTACTAAAGGACCATTAAGTTATGCAAAATGAAACTCTCACCGGATCAAGTTTTCCTTTTTTTTTTCATTACTAAAGGACCGTTAAGTTATGCAAAATGAAACTCTCACCCTGTAAACACCTAAACAGTCTGATACTCCATGAAAATTTCAGGGGTTTTGTCTTCTAAGGATTGGGAACCAAAGGTTTGTGTCTATGAATGCATGTATGCATACACATGCATGTATCTGTATCTACAGATTGACCGACACGTGTATATTTAAATGAAACCTAATTTTTGGTTAGCCAAGGCAAAGTCAGACTCTGGTGCACTTCAGCTAAGAGATCATGTGCCTAACACAATTCATACAATTTTGGACTATTTGGGCAAGAACAGTTACAAATCCATGCAAATACACTTAAGATTGCATTCTCTTATTTGCTTAGCAACAGCCAAAGTAACAGCTATTATAATGGTCGTTATGATGCATCACATCAAAATAAATTCATTCTCCAAGGAAAAACAGTAGATTCTCCAAATAATTTAATTCAGTACAAAACTGTGCTGAAGTTTAAGACAATCACCAGGAGACCACAACGAGATTCATCCTGTACACTGAGAAACTCAGTTCCTAAAGCTCCAGCAGCTGTATTCAAATATGGCCATAAAAAGAAGCAAACTGTAAAACAGTTTGGTTTCAAACTTGGGCTAAAGGCCAGGCAAGATTTTAAATCTCAAAACAAGATCTTCAAAAGCACTACTGAGACCAAAAATACAGAATACAGCCTGGTTTGCACTTTTTAAAGTGCAAAAAGGATACAAATAAAGTTGAGATGAGTGCAGAGGCAAGCTACAAGAATGGCTGGCAGACTGCAGAAACCACCTTCAAATGAGAGTCTGAGTTCAAACTGTTTAGCTGCTGAAAAAGAACTAGGAGGAGTCTGCAGTTCACATGCAACTTCACAGGGAGAGAAGTACTAAAATCTAGCACACAATGTAACATAAACAGTGGGAAAGGAAAGCAGAA